AACCCCATGGATATTGCTGTTAAAAAAAAAAAAGAAAGAAAGAAAGAAAAGAAAAGAAAAAGAAAGAGAGAAAGAGAAAGAAACTTGACTTTTAGCTTACACTATACAACAAAATCACTCAAAATTTACCAAACAACTTCTCGAAGCAAATATTGGTGATAATCTTTGCAGCCTTGGGGTAGGCAAATATTTCTTAGTCAGGTCACAGAAATTGCTAACTATAAAAGAAGAAGCTGCTAAATTTGACTTCATTAAAATTAAGAACCTCTGCTCTTTGAAAAACATGGTTAAAAAAATGAAAAGCCAGACAGGGAAAAAATATGCTCAATACATATACCTAACATAGAACTTCATTCAGAATTTATTAAGAACTCTTATAACTTATTTATAAGACAAACAACTGGTAAAAAGATGGCAATAGATTTAAACATATACTTCTCAAAAGAAGATATATAAATGACCTATAAGTACATGAAGGTCAAGTAAAGTTGCCAGGACCTATCTTTCCTTCATCTTTTGGTTCTATATCTCTAGTTTGCACTGTTTTCAGCCAAGCCTCTTCGGAGTGGTAGCAGTTTGGTTGCTGCAGTTCTAAACCTAACTTTCCATCATTTCAAACCCGGTGAAAAAGAGCCAAAATATTTTTTTCTCAGGAGTCCCGGTCTAGATTTTATTGTGTCCCATCGGCTCTGATTGAGTGGATTAGTCTATATGGCCACATATTGGACCAGGCTGAGGTCACATGCTCTACCGCTTTGCTAGGCTGGGAAAGCGAGAAGTAGAATCCTAGAGAAGGAGCCTTCAGGGAACCCTTCAGCTTCTTTAGTAGGATGTCAGGCTTTGGCTTACTGTCTCCTATTAAATATCACATAATGTAGGAGCAATAATTTTCTATATGGAAATCAGGGTATGTGAGAAAAGAATGGATGTTGAGTGGGAAAAAATAATCCACCACCCTTACGTTTTAGTAGCCTCTTCATACTTGAAATGGTCAATTGTTGAGAGAACCTTTGCTTCAGATTTGGCTTCCAGAGCTACGCCAGCCATTCCAGCTATGACAGAATGAAGCTGAAAAGGGTCGGAGAGGCCGTGTCCACCTTATAAACATCAGGTTCAACCTCAGCAAACAGCCTTTACCATCACTTAATAAGCCAGTAGCCCAAGAGACCCACCAATTCCCTAGCATGTGTGCAGGATAACTAATTTCATGATCTTGAACCAAGATGCTTCTTTCATGATCCAGAGAAGAAAGAAGGGCAGTGTTTCTAGTCTATAAGCATTAGCATAATCACATTGCTTCATTACACTACCCAATGACAATTGGTAAATTAGCATCAGCTAATTATTTCCCTTTGAATAACAATTCCCTTTGAATTCCAAAGGGAATTCAAACCATGAAAACATATTATTCTGGGAAAATAAAAAAAAGTTAATAGAAGTACATTATAATTTAGGAGCCAAAAAGTATTAATGATGCTTTTTACACTACAGGTTTTCATTGTATTCATATTATCAAACTTTATAATAGTGAGATTATTATATGTGCGTTTAGTTTTATTCGTTAAGATAAGCTAAAGGAAAGGAAAATTCCTAGTAAGGGACAGAATTTTATAATCCTTAATTTTCAAGTAACCTAACATTCCAGAATTCTTTCCATTTTACACTTAGGTTAATTGAAGCAGGAGGCATGGTTGTGAAATTCCTTAAGCCACAAAGCAGAAGCTTACAAAGAACACTATTCTTCTAAGATCCAGCCTTTAGAAGGCAGTATCATGTTACTTCTACTTTGAAAATGTTGCTTTTCAAGCCCCTTTGGGTTGCATGCTGATCTCATTGCTAAAGGGCAGGTTCAAACTTATGTAGTGGATGTTGAAGTTTGTATGATCAGAGTTTGTTTGCAAGCAACCAAAGCTTACACTGTATGATTTATTCTTACAGCATTTCTGGCAACCATGCAGAACTAGCCTTGGAAACTGAGTGGAAGCAAGGGAGCAGGATGAATCTCAACCAAAAACAAGCCACAGACCCAGTCTAGTGAGGAGCCTTTTGTCATTCCACTGAACATTTTGCTGCCAGTGAAAAATAGGTGCCACTAAATAGGGGTTATCAGATAAAATATAGGATACCTAGTTAAATTTCAATTTTAAATAAATATTTAAAAATGCATAACTTTTTAAAGTATGTTCCATGCAATATTTAGACATATTTATACTAAAAATATTTTTAAATTATTTTTTTATCTGAAATTTGAATTAAACTGGATCTGTTGTATTTTCATTTGCTAAATCTGGCAACTCTACAATGGATGTACCATTTGCTGTCCCTGGAAACAAGCTGCCATCTGCCACTCTAGTGGATTTTTGCATTATGGGTTCTAAAAACAACCTGATTGAGACAGATAGGTGTCATCAGTGGAGTCTCTGCTACAGGGCCCTGCTCCAGCTGCGAGGGTGGTCAGAATGCTGATGGTGTCTCTATCATTCATTGAAAATGGCCTCTGTCTTTCACCGTCTTAAATTTCTCAGATGTAAGGGTGGAGCAGTAGTGAGATTCAGATATTGGGGGAGAAAAAAGATAAATGCCTACCTTATTTTCTTGTTAACATATGCTCCTTCTCTTTCTCATTGTCTAGTGGCCTGTGAGTTGGGGACAAGGCATAATATAATTCTCTTTGCCAGTGACCAGTCCAACCTAGATTTAAGCCAATTAGCAGATGACATCTCCTTGGCTTCAAGTGTTGTTTCAGGATTGGGCACATAACTCAATCTGGGCCAAGGGGATGAGAGGAAAGTTTACTAGAAGATTTTAGGGGAACTAACCTTATTCCTGAGACCTGCATTAAGTAAATAATGATCTCATCTTCCTCCAGATACTATTTTGTGTAGTCGCGAGGCCTGGAAATTCTGCAGCTATTTTGCTTCCATCCTGAGATGAAGAACAAAGAGAGAAAACGAGGCAGAAAGCGGTAACTGCAGAGAAGTAGAGCTGGAACTGCTGGATTAAGTCTCCCGATGCCTGTCCCACATCTGGATGTTCAGTTATGTGCACCGATACATTTTTGTTTGGCTTAAGCACATTCAAATTTGGTGTTCTTGTACTTATAGCCAAAAAACAACCCAACTGAAAAAAAATTCATGAATGTATGAGCCACTTTTGTAAGCTTATCATTTGTTGAATTCCGAAAGTTCAGCATAATGTGTTTAACTGAATTAGAAATTACCGCTATTATGAAATTGTGAGGCAAGGATTAGTATTTAAATTAATGCAATATAAACAACTATAGATTTGCTTCGTTAGGCCAGAGAAGGAAGCAGTTTATGATTCTTGCCAGATTCTTGCTTTTTTTGCATGAATGGCCCCGGAGATGAAGCAGCCTCTCAGGAAGTCCCCTCTGAGGAAACATATTTAAATTCCTGGAAAGGCCTACGGTGCAAACATAAATAGTATTCGAGATAACTGTACCCTCTCTTCTTCTTTCTCCATGGGATGGACAGCTGCTTCTTTGACCTGTCTAGCCACCCTCCCCACTTCTTTGGGTAATAACGCCCTGCTGCTCCTTTGGATAACACCCTTTCCTCCATTCCCTGGAATCTCAGAGGGACCAGCCATCCAGGTACCTACCACACCTGCTCCCTACCACTAGGCCCAACGGTGTGCATGCAACTTTAGGCTAAACTCTGTCACAAGAACTCAGCTCTCTAGGGGTCTGATGCAAGAAGGAAAATCACTGGTGTCATTCCTAATAGGGACTCTTTTCTGAGTCTTGATTCCTCCCCACCCTGGCTTTGCTTAAGGTAGCCAGGGTGAATTTCCCTTACGTGCTGCCAAAAATCTTAGCTGATACTCTCCACCTAAAAAGTCCTCAAACACAACCAAGCCTTTAGGAGTTACATTTTTAATTTTTACTTGGCATGTGTTACTATAAGTCTGACATAAATCTCTTTATAATTTCTATCGTGTGCCTAAATTATCATATAATCAATTATAAAAACTTTACTGGGAACTAAAGTATAGGAAATTAATGAGTATTTTTAAGGATTATTTTTAAAACCCACTTAGCACTTATTGTGTCTAAGACATTGTTTATTTGTTTAATCGTCATTATAATCTAGTGATGTACTATCATTATCCCCATTTTACAGATTTTGAAACTGAAGCACAGCAAGGTTAAGTAGCATACCCTAGGTCACACAGCTAGTAAATGGAAAAGCTGTGATTCAAACCATGACCATCTGATTTCAGTCCATTCTCATCCACTGTATAAAATCTGGCATCATCGAATTACTAAGACAAACTATAAAATTGACTTCTAATGAATAAGATTAGTTATATGCAAAAGAGTCTTGATACAATGTCTTCCAGTCCAGAAGTAAGAAAGATGAACAGAGTTGGCTGAAGTCCCTGGGTTCCAATTTTCAACTTTCTGCCAAGTCAAAACTGTGTAGGCTTTCCCTAGTAAACACCTATGGAGTTATTCACCCATTCATTCAACTAAATGTGCTGAGTACATGCTAAGTGCTAAGCACTGTCTTGGGCTTTGAGGTGATGGCAGTGAACAAGCAGACGAAAATCTTTGCCCTCACGGCGTTGGTGTTCTAGTGAGGAGTTGTGATTCTACCGCCACATAATTGAAAACGCCTGAATTTCTCTGGCTCCCGATCGTTTCCATTACTATAATGAATGAAAGAATGGGTTCATCTGAGGGCCGTGCTGAGTCTGTGCACCTGTGCCACGTCAGCAGGCCTCATCCTTCCAGAGGTGCACGAGGGAAGGATGCTGGCTCAAGACTGCCTGGCAAAGGCGATATCTGCTGGGAGATGGTGACAATTTGTTACGTGTCCAGGATTTCACATGAATAAACCATTCACTTCATATAGTTTAACACATTTAATTCTCACAACAACCTAAGATCTAAAAGCAGTAGCACTGCATCTCTTAAGACTGCTGCCTCATCTTCATTCTTTCATCCCCCTTCCCAAAGGAATACGCTTTCTTTCACCCCACACCTTGGACGTGAACTTCTTGCCTGAGGACTGTAAATACCAGTTCAAAAACAGAAAACTAAGAACCCACAATTCTTCTCAAAATACCAGTCTATTTTTTCAGAGGAGTTAATTTCAGAAGGAAGATAGGCCAAGCTTGTAAAAACAACTTACATGGATCCTACCGGTAAAATATGAACTTGGGAAACTGCGACACGTACAACCAGGAAAGGAAGTCAGCCGATGGTGTGGCAGTTCTGGGGAAAGATACGTTCTCTTCATTGTGAACGTATCTTTCCGGGGAAGCAGTCTGACCACCAATGGGAGGCTGCTGCCTAGAATTCCCTGCAGGTGTCACAGATGATAATGTCCTAAAGCAGCTGCTCTTCGGGAGCTTAAGGGAGAAACTGGCTATAAAGGTGATGTTGCTGAATGTTCTCCAGCTGTATGTGTGGATCTGGGTTTGTCAAACTGTACCACACACATCATGATAGTAACTATTAATGGAGATGAGGCTGAAAAATATCAGACCCAAGTCAAAGACAGGGGATGGAGAATGCGTGAAAGTAATTTCCTTACTAAAGAATAACCTGCTGAAGAGACTCGTCGCTCTGGTGACTGAAGAATATCTGATAGTAGATGTCAAAGTTTTCCCGCTTCCTGGTGCTGCCCTTTTGAGATGTCCTTCCTGAAATGTTAAGGCCAAAGGATAGTGGCCAAATGCCTTTGCAAACAAGACCACTAGGGCTCCTTCACTAAGATTTTATATTCAGCTGAGTTTAATGTATATTTGAAATTAGCTGTTTCACAAAAGAAAAGCAACAAAGAATGCAATCAATCAATTAATTAATCGAACTTGCCAATGCACCTGTGCTGACTCATATTCTCTGAAATTGAGGGGTATCTTAGAAGCCATGGCCTCGCTTAAGGGGTGTCAGCAGAGCAGTGGTCATGATGGGGACATTGCCTACAATACTGGGCAGATATTGAAAACAGTACCATGTTTGCAACATTTCAGCTGAATTACAAGCATTGTTGATACTGCCAGTAAGATCATTTTGTAGAATGGGTGTCAGTGGCCTGGAAGAAAGTCTCCCCCGCCTAAAGGGCTGGGTGTGGCTGAGGTGTGTGTGGTTGAGAGCTTTCTTCTGCTTGGCTAATCCTATTGATGGAACGGAGGGCAGTTTTGTATGAGAAAAGCCTCAGTCATAAGAAAACATTGTGTTCTGGTTAATTGGTAAGTTTGATTTTCCAAGCTTAGTAGTAGATGAGGTGTCTTATCATCAAGGCCATCTTGGAGTCAATAAAATACAGAATTATTATGCTCATTTTACATTTGAGGAAGCAGAGACACAATAATGTGAATTAACTTGCCCCAAACCTCGCAGCTCGCAAGTGTCAGAGCCAGGGTTTTATCCTGGACTATGTAGTGGATTTTGAGTCTAAATGCTCAGTTAACCATGGTACTGTACTATTCCTCAGTATTCATGCATCTGGTTGAGGAAGGTTATTACAGCCTGATTTACTCAATTAGCCAACCAACCGATTCATGGGATGCCGACTACCTGCCAGATATTGGCATATATTGGAAACAGGGCCAGTGGTGAGCAAGAATTTGGAGCTACTTTCAAGGAGCATATAGCTTAATAAGAAAATAGGTCTTAATCACATAACAACAGGAATAAATTTAAAAGTGCAACTGTGCAGTAACAGGAAAGGGAACTATAGAGTGCTATTAAAATGTAAAATGAGGGGCCCCTTTATAACCTGGGAAATCAGATAAGGCTTCCTGGAATAAGAGTCTTTTGAGCTAAAAGTAAATAGGCAAAAAGGGTGGAAGGAGGAGCTTTCCAGAAAGAGGAAACAGCATGTAAAACAGGCCTCGTGTGGGAAAGAAGTTAGCACCTTCCCAAACTGGAAAAAAGCGAGTCGCTATAGTGTGTGTGTGTGTGTGTGTGTGTGTGTGTGTGTGTGTGGCGTGTAGATGGGGGCCAGAGTGTTATGAGATGAAGGTAGAGAAGGAGGTTGGGTTAAGATCACCCATAGCCCTGTAGGCATATTAAGGATTTAAGTCTTCATCCTAAAAGCAAGTTTCATTGTCCCTTTGTCTCATTTATTGTTCCTTAGCTCTAATTCTATTTCAGTAAATCTGAAACTGCTCCAAAGTCTGATTCACTCTCTGTGGACAGGAATAATTTTTCTGAAAGCCCTTGATAGGTAGCTATACATGTATAAGGTATGATTGTTCCTCCTGCTATACAAAACAGTGAATTGCTTGCTCTGGCTCAAAATATGATGAAACAATGAAAATTCATTTTTCACAGTTCCGGAGGCTGGAAGTCTGAGATCAGGGTGTGGGCTGGTCAAGTGAGGGCCCTCTCCTGGGTTGCAGACCTCCTGTATCCCCACATGGCAGAAGGGGCGAGGGGACTCTGGAATCTCCTTTGTAAAAGCACTAATCTCTTTCATGAGGGCTCCACCCTCAGAACCTAATCACCCAGAGTGTTATGAGATGAAGGTAGAGAATCTCCTTTGTAAAAGCACTAATCCCTTTCATGAGGGCTCCACCCTCAGAACCTAATCACCTTCCAAAGGCCCACCTCTTAATACCAGTACCTTTGGGGGTTAAGATTTCAACATATGAATTATGGGGGGTGGGGGTGGGGGGAGTGGTACAGACATTCAGACCATAGCACTGGTTCTCTAGATTTAAAATTATATATAAAAAGATAGTTGAAACAAAGTTCATTTGCCTATATATAAATATGTGGCATAGAGAGATGAATGCAATATAGTGAAATCATATATAACATACCGTATTTAATTAATTCGAAGATGCATATTTTCCCACTGAAATGGGGACAGGTCTTACAACTGAAGGCATGTCACATGTTGTCAGTATCTCTTCTTTCTCAGTGATACATAGAATAGTAACCTTATAGTCAGAAGTGTCTCAACAACGTAGAGTGTACAAGAGTCAAGTTCCCAGAAGTAGAGCCTAAGACAGGTATGGAGTTTACACAATTCATTGAGGAACGCTCTTTTGAAAAGCCTATAAGAGAGTGAGTGAAGCAAGAGAGGGAAAGGGACAGAGCCACGCAAGGTCTTAGGTCAAGACTAGCCTCTGGCTGATCCTCTGAAGCCTGAACCCCATCACAATTCTACTCCCTTGAGGCAAGGGCCTCTCATGCCCCCAAATTAGTCATTGACTATGGGCTGCCTTTGTGGGGTCATAACCTCCTGGGCAAAGGGCTCCCATCAGCCAAGGGTAATTTTCAGGAGAAGGAGGGCAGCTGGGAGCACTATCAGCCAAAAGTCATGACAACTAACAGCGGGGTATCCACTTGGTGTAGGGGATCTAAAGGACATTACAGCGTCCACCATAGATATCTTGCTCAGCTTTGCAGTTCTTAGTGCCCACAAAGTGAAAAGCAGCTTCTCTCAAGAAGAATGATCATTCTCCTGTTATGGTGTGATTTGCACTGTCCTCAATAATATCCTTAGGGTAGACTCAGTTACCAAATGTCTTAGGGCTGTTTTCTTCCAGGTATCCTGAGGACAAGGCAATCAGATGCTGTCAGAAGCCATAGCCACTACATTCTGATCTGTGTGTGGCAGATCTGGCCGCCAAAAGAATCCACAGATTCCAACCAAGTGTATTTGTTGGGGGGTGGGGAGGGGGAAGGGAACCCAGAGGAAACCATAAAGTAGGTGAAGTATAACGTCTCCGTCTCCTGCCCCACCTTTCCAGAATCCTGTCCCTGCTCCTAGCACCCTTTTCTCCGACCATTTCACTACTGCCCTTCCTCTTCCTATCTCTAAGTTTGAACTGTTCTCCAGATGTTTCTTTCTTTCTCCCCCTTCTCCACCCCCTCCCCAAGAGCTTCCCTTAAGCAAAAAGAGTGTTGAGAATTTGATGTGTTAACACCTGGGTATATTTGCATTTTAAAGACCACTTGGGAGAGGATAC